TAAGGAGCAATCACCTCATGTTTTATCCCAACAGACTCAAAATAAGTAATATCATAATACTCTCCACCTTTATCTATTCGTAGACATTTGATAAAGGATTCACAATGAAATTCAACTTCTGATTTGTATGTCTTAAATTTTTGCAATGTTTCACCTTTTTAATGTAACAAGAAAACATGACAGTATCTACTATAATCATCAATAAAAATCACAAAGTAATTTTTACCACCCAAAATAGGAGTACCATGCAAATCACATACATCACTATGAATAAGATCCAAGATTTTAGATGATCTTTCAACTTTAGAAAATGAATTTCTTGTGATTTTCGTTAGCATGCATGTTCTGCATTTTTCTTCAATCTTATCACAATATGGCAACAAATCAAGTCTCATCATTTCATATATTCTTTTGTAATTAACATGGCCAATCCTATTATGCCACAATTCAAAAAAAGACTCAACCAAATAAGTAGAAATAATATCATTCATATTATTTCTAATAGCAATTACATTCAGTTTAAACATCCCATTGCAAAGATAACCCTTGCCTACAAACATACCACCTTTAGATAAAATAAATTTGTCAGTCTCAAACACAAGTCTAAAGTCAAATTTATTTAATAATCCAACCGACACCAAGTTCTTCCTAACTTCCGGTATATAAAACACATTTGTCAAGGTTACAACATTGCCGGAAGTAAATTTTAATTCTACTTCTCCAATGCCTTGAACCGAAATTGTAGCAGAATTTTTCATGTAAACAACAGTACTCTCATTCACCGGTTTCATGGACTTGAAGAACGTTCTATTGTTACACACGTGTCACGTAGCTCTAGAATCAATCCACCAAACAAAATCATCTTCAATCATATTGATTTCAGAGATCATTGCCACAAGATTTTTACTTGTGTTTTGAGAAGACTCTTATTTCTTCTTCTTGTTTTGAAGAATCTTGCATTCCGACTTGTAATGTCCCTCTTTCTTGCAATAGAAGCATTGTCCCTTTTTCCTTTTCTTGGACTGATTCTTGGGTTGTTGGCCCTTCTTGCATCCTTGAGACTTTTCAGTTTGTCTCTCTTAAATCACATGCACTTTTGAAATATAATCTTTGTTCTCTTCAAGGATTTGAATATCTTTCTTTTTTTACATGCGAATTTCCTTTTCTACTCGAAGAGATTTAGCAAGAATCTCAAGAGAGATACCCTCTTTCTTATGTTTGAAGTCTCTCTTGAAATCTTTCCAAGAAAGTGGTAATTTATCTATTATAGAACAGACAATTATCGTTTCATCCATGTGTAGATTGTATTGTGTGAAGTGATTAAGAAGCCTTTCAATCTCACTAAATTGCTCCATAACAGACTTACTATCTACCATTTTATAATTATTAAAAGATGAGACAAGAAACTTCTTACTTGTAGCATCTTCTTGCATGTACTTGGACTCCAAACGATCCCAAAATTCCTTGGCTATAGTAATTGAATGGTAGACATCAAACAGGCTGTCACTAATGGTATTGAGGATGTGACCACGGCATATTTCATCGTCGTTCTCTCATTTCAAACGTTTTCGAATGTCTTCAAGAGTTTCTTCCTCGGGATTGATCAATGATTTTGGTGTGGTCAAAACATAGACCACTTTGAGTGCAGTGAGAAGGAAACGAACACGTTTTTGCCAACGAATGAAATTTCCTCCGTCAAACCTCTCGAGCTTGACAATGTTGGATGCGAACTCTTTCAGGGTACCAGCCATTGTAGAGTATCAAATAAAGCCTAAAAATTGGTGGGTAAATTGTAAAGGACTGGCAAATATGGTGACAAAAATTGATTTCAAATCGTGATAGATATCATTTTCCTTTAAGCTTTATTTGTCCGGTATAACGTGCAATAACCTTAGACAAATATCCTTTAAGATAAGATGAAATTTGTTTGTCTTAAACTCTTGCACAAAGCAAGACAAACCCTTTGTAAACTAAAGAGTGCTTTCGAGAGAGTATACAATAGTAGGAAAGTGATTTTCTACAGCAAACCACTCTACTTGACCTCTTTATATAGAAAGATTGTTTGAAAAACAAAAGAATTCATTAAATACTTGTATGAATAGATTCAAAGTATCGTGTATAAATTCATGCACTTTAATTCATGCATCTATCCTTTCATTCAAGGATTTTCATATACATGAACACATTCATAAATGAATGTACATGATAGAAACATTCACAATACTATACATGTACCAAAAAACATGAATTTACATTAATTACATGTATGTACATCATACAAATTTTGAAAAGTTTCCAACATCATGTGGATTCTTGGCAGAAACAAGGGAGGAATCCGTCTTATAATCCATCAGTGGATTGCGGACTAGCTTTGTATCGGCAGAGCAGCACGATTTGCACAATAATTCAGTCATTCCTCTTCCCTATAAAAAGGACTTCTCATGGACGATTTTGCAGAGAAAAATAGAGAGGAAAGAGAAGAAAACCCACAACAAAATGTAGATATTAACTAGAAATTAGTCTCTTAGTTTAGATTAGGATTAGTTTAGGATAGTTGTAGTCCGTTCTTGTGTTGGTTCAACAAAGAGGCCAAGAATTAGGAGAAATCCTTGCGTAATCTTGATGCAATGGATTCAAGGATGAGGAGTTGTTGGAGGAACTCTTGGCTCCATTTGATCAATGAGTTTTTTTGGTGTTTGTTTAAAATTTTACTGTAATTTATTGTAGAAGTTGTAGGAAAAATTTTTAAGTGTGTAAATTTTTGGATATTCTAAAATATATAGTTTAAAATTTTTGAGAAGATTTTAAGGTTACTGTAACTAAAGTTGTTAAAAAATTTAAAACTGACAAACTTAGCCAAAAACTTATTTGCCAAATAGGCCCCTTGTTTCTTCAATATGAATGAGCAATCTCTTTCCTTCCCTCTTTAGTTTTTGTTACATTGTGTATGACTATATGACTGACTTGTGCTTATTTTTGTATATATTATCATTATGTGTAGCTAATATTTTGCTTGGAGATCGATGAAACACTTGACTTGAGATCGTGATTGATGATGGTTAATCTCATTGATGGCTTGTACTTGACTTGTTTATTCATTTGGCTTTAACACTTAGGTTGCTTGATCACCAATCTTAGGTCACACTAGTTGATGGATAGGCAAAGAAATTTTGCTATTCATTAATGGAAAGAAAATAAATGAAACTTAACGAGTAGGCACATGAAAGTAGTGATACCCTTAGGTAGGTGTTTACTGTAAATTTCATGTAATAGATTCACTATTCACTTTGGATCTCCCCACAAAAGTTGGGGAACCTTAAGATTGGTAGTGCTGGTTAGCCACTAAAGTGCAGATCTCAGTTACCATTGGAAATGACCCCGAGCGAGACAAAAGGCATTAGGGAGACCCTGGCCATTTGATTACCGATTACGGTTAGGTTGTGGATTCTATACCCCAGAGTCTTGGGTTAGTTGATTTCCCCCTTTTTTTAGCCTGCTTTTACTGTTTTCATAGTGTACTTTATTTTGCTTGTCTTATGAATTTATTTGGCGAGTTAATTCCACTTTATACCCTCAAACTTTGGACGATTACTAACTTCAGTCCCTAAACTTCAAAATGGGACACTTAAGTCCCTAAACTTATAAATACCTCCCACTTAAGTCCCTAAACTTATAAAATGGAACACTTAAATCCCTAAACCCTTATAAAATGGGATACTTCGACCACCAACGGCATTCAGGATTTGTTAACAATTTTCCTTCAATGGGAGGTATTTATAAGTTTAGGGACTTAAGTGTCCCATTTTGAAGTTTAGGGACTGAAGTGGGTAATCGTCCAAAATTTGAGGGGACAAAGTGGTATTAACCCTTTATTGGGCAGTCTAGACAACAGAGCAAGTTTAAGTCCCTTATAATTGCATCAAAGTGCTCCCTATGGGTTTGACTCTTTATGCCACTATAATTGTTTATGACCTATATACTTTCGGATATGTTATGTGGCATATATAGGAATTTATAAATATAAAATTTGACTGTGAAATTGAGTTGAAATTGAGTTTAATTTTATATGCATACCTGTGCATGTTAGGTTTGAATTTGGTAATGGGGGGCTTTTCTTCTTTTTGCTTGAATAGAATCATATCCTTCATTTTCCTCATAATACTTTCACTTTGAATATTCAGTATATGGATGTACCAAACTCAAGAAAATAGTTGTCAAGTCTGTTAAAATTTCATTAAATTTTTGGAGGAGTTTTTTTGAGAGTTTGATGTGAGTAGTTTATCTTCTTAATTTTAATTTAGTTTGATATTAATATTCAATGATTTCCAATAAGATTGAAAATCAATTAAAGTATGTAAAAAAGTTTTTTATATGCTTCGTTGAAGACAAAATTAGTCTTAGTAAAACACTTTACATACTTAATATCTCTTTTTTTTTTCCTAGTATTCATGATAAGAAGTAGTACGTACAATGTGCAACACACATTATCTAGGTTTTTTTTTTAAGTAAGGACATTTTTGGAATTAATTTAGGAAGAACTTATGCATGAATTCGTCACATTGAATAACGCTAAGTTTCTTCCTCATATTCTTCTAATGTTAATTCAGAGTCAAAATCAAGTAAATCTTCCGAAGAGCTGAAAATGTTTTTTGATTTTTGATTTTTAAAAAATATCCAGTATAAAAGGATACTTCTTTTTTGTCTCGGAGAATTGGTCAAATTGGTAAGGAGGAAGTGAGAAAATGTGATTTGCATCCGTTGGGGTTGATTTTGATTTTGATTTTTGAGTAATTGGTGCCCAGGTCAAGAGATTAGAATGCTGATCTATACTGGATATATTGTAAGAATTACATTAATTGGACAAAATTCAATAGGAGAAGCTGTAGACTCTTTCTCTCTCCCTCATATATATATATATATATATATATATATATATATATATTTGGGAGAATTACGTACAACTTTTTGAGATGTAATTAATCATTCCAGATGATGTATCATGAATTTAATTATGTATAGCACGTCGTCGCTTCTTATAAGAAAAGTACTCATTCATATACTTCCATTTTATTGAACATCATGATTCACTCTATCTCATGAATCACTGATATAGTACTTGGCATACTTATATGATCCCACCCTCGCGGAAACCGAAAAACACACTAGAAAGGGCATATATTATACCCATTATTTAGTACTCGTTTAGAGTACTATATGTTGTAATTCCCTTTACCAAACCCCAATTTTTGCACAGGCGGCCAAGTACAAATCTCTTCCTTTCCACTAGTATAGCGAACAAGACAGCCGTTGGAGAAGCAGCAATTGGTGCAGTTTATCTCCAGCTTCACTCCATCACATATCACGGACTCGACAAATATGCAATGGAGTGGGCAAGGCGTCTCAGGCCCAGGCCCAGGCCTGACGGCCGCGACCTCCACATTTGCTTCCAGAAGGATCATCCCTGTTTTCAGTACCAAAATCATTTTAAACCAATTGAGAGATTGGATGAATCAATTGAGAGATTGGATGAATAGTTTTCATTGTTTGATAATATATATATATATAGATAGGATGAATAGTTGTCTTTTTATATTTTGAAACTGCCCCAACGGGTTTAACTCGTATACATACCACAAAAAAGAATAGCCATTGCACCAATCTTGTTGACTGCCATGATTCCTTCTCTTTGTCTTCCAAAAGTTTGCCTTTGATTTGAAATGGCTTGGACTAATACCCAGTAGGTTCTTATATAGACGGTGAGAAGCGTAAAGAGTGAGAGTCTATCATGCTACTAGGTGTAAGTATTCTGCTTATTGTGCTTCCACAGAGTCGTAGGATCAGTCCATTCAAAGTTATTGTGCCTCGGGGTCCATCAAAAATTAACCCTCCTTAGAATCCTGGGACCATTTTTTACAAATGAAATGACATCCAAACAAACCTAACCTTCCTTAGAATTTTGGGACCAGTCCATGGTATTCAGACGAATTTTTGGACCACTCCTTTGTAAATTATTGGAAGGCAGCCGGCCCAGCGTACGTTTCATTTACGATACCCAGCCATAATTTGGCCCATTGGATTTGATGTTGTTAGCCATCCAACATTGTCCTTCAGCACGTTGGCGTCTTCCAAGGAGAGAATCTTGAGAATCTTTTTTAAGGCTTGGCGTTCATGAGATTAATTTTTGAATTGGGAAATAAAATTTTTGCCGCCGATTTTTATTCCATCCACCAAAATGATCCCAAATGTTTCACCAAAACACATATCTGGTGCCTCCCATTTATTCTAATATCCACCACTAGAGTTATTTCAATTTCTAAATGAGCAAAACACTTGCAACTCAATGAGCAAAACACTTGCAAGAAGGACAATTAAGATATCAAATTCAGAAAACCCTCAAATTTTCAGGAGTAAATGAAGAAGAAGTAGTAGCTGCCTTCCTGGCAGCTGGTAGCTACAAGCATTGCTGAAGCATTTATGCGTTCATCTTAAATATCCCATCTCTCAATTCTGATCAAAGCTTCACTGCCAATCACCCAATTAATTTCACAGAGAAAAAGATGGTGTGGATCGGGTACGTAGGCTGTGTTAGAGAGGAAGCCAAAGAAAGAGAGATGGGCAGACGTTCCTCTCAAAGAATATATGTAGTCTTTGCGCATGATATGTAGTCTTTTTTTTCTCATTGTATTTGGTTTGCGTGGACGACAAATAAATAGAGGTTAGTGATTGTCGACCCTCTCCAACCCTATACTTCTATCTTTATACTCCTTTTACTATTTAAGATTTGTTACCTTACTTTTACCCTTCCCAATGCTAAACGTCTATCTTTCTATTCCTTTTTATTATTTAGAATTTGTTATCTCACTTTTCAAGTTTTTTTTTTTCAAATAAAAAGTTAGAATTATAGTCGTCGAGAAAAGTAATTGGGTATAAATTTGGTGAAATACAACTATTTTTGTAGCGACCACCCAAGATAATTGTTCAAACAATATTTTTTAAAATTTTTTAATAAAAACTCCAAAAAAACCATCTAAATGCCCTTTTATTAATTCAAAATTCATATAAAAATTTTGTTTTATGTGCAATTTTTGATATATGTGTTATATGAAAAATTATCCTGACAGAATTTGCGCACGTGAAAAATTATCTAGGTGACTTGTGTGTCAGAATATTTATTTCATTGGTTGGAATAATTGTTTAATATGATAAGTTTACGGCTAAAAAAATTGATGTTGTTGCTATAGGTTAAATGGTTAAGGAGTGTTTATAATTGAATATGTCATTTGAATATTTGACAAATCTATGTATATACCAGGAAGGAAAGTGCTACAAATATTACTATGTAAATGATTAAAAAATAGGACTAATCATATTATTCCTCAGATTCTATTTTTGGCAAAGGCATATTTAATGTTGTTTTTCCTATTCTTTAATTTTCATTTTTTAAAATTTTTGTTAAATTTCATCCTTCTATGTTATGACAATAAGATATGTTGAATTGTGGAAATTGTTATTTAAACCGGCTCCTAAATTTTGGATATGTGAATTGTCATAAGTTGAGTTTTATCCAATTTTTGCTTGCTTGATATAATATTAATTGTGAATTTATTTTAATTTATTTGTACCAGTTGACAAATTACAATTATCATGACATCCAAACAAACCTAACCTTCCTTAGAATTTTGGGTACAGTCCATGGAATTCAGAAGAACTTTAGGACCACTCCTTTGTAAATTATTGGAAGGCAGCCGGCCCAGCGTACGTTTCATTTACGATACCCAGCCAAAATTTGGCCCAGTGGATTTGAGGTTGTTAGCCATCCAACATTGTCCTTCAGCACGTTGGCGTCTTCCAAGGAGAGAATCTTGAGAATCTTTTTTAAGGCTTGGACAAAATTCAATTGGAGAAGTTGTAGACTCTTTCTCTCTCCCCCGTATATTTGGGAGTATTACATATAATTTTTTGAAATGTAATTAATCATTTCGCCCCGCGTGAATGGTCCAGCGGTAACGCCTCTCACCGGTGACCCTTAAGGTCCCAAGTTCGAGTCTCCGCTCCGCTGGGTTCCTCCGCGCACTTATCGCGTTCGGATTGGGTTGGGACGTCGGGCCCGGGTCGCAGGGAATTAGTCGGGTCTCGTAAGAATTGATTCGGACACCCCTGTGTCGACAAAAAAAAAAATTAATATATATATATATATATATATATATATATATATATATATATATATATATATATATATATATATATTCATTTCAGATGATGTATCACGAATTTCATTATGCATGACAGGTTGTTGTTTGTAAGAAAAGTACTCATTATCTATATCTATATGTATTCAGGAAGGGGTTTTTAGCAAAAACCCTCTCAATGACTTCTAAACTTCTCATTCTTTTTTCTAGATTTTTGTATTTATTTTAATACATAAAATGTAGTGGGTTATAACCCACCTTATCACCCATCAATATTCCCACTATCCCACTATCTTTTTTTTTTCAACAAACGACTATCCCACTATCTTAACCCATCCTACAATCACTCCTACAAATTCTCTATTCCCACTATCCCACTATCTCACTCCCACTCTCTCTCAGTTTCTTATTTGTTTTTTGTTCTCTATTTATTTTGTAAATGTATTGATTTTGTTTCTTTTATGAGCAGTAGTGGAAGATATTATGTGCAGAGACTTCAGCAGAATTCAACCTTCTTGAGGAGAATTGGAAGTATATTCTTGCCAGCTTAATTTTCCAGGTCGGTCCCCTCTGCCTTTCAAGTATGTTTTGCTTTTGCTTTGCTTTTTGTCATGAATGATATTGCATTGATTTTCTGATCATCCATTATTTCTGAAAAATTTTTACAAAATCCTATAAAACGGTTATTTGTTTATTGTTACACTGTAAAGCAAAGATAGTCAATAGTGGGATAAAGTATAAACACAAAATCACAATCACATTTCTAACATAAGGTATTGCTTGCTTATATAATTGCGGATGGTATAGGTTCATGATTGAGGGTTTTACTATTTCTAACATAAATTGTATATTATAAAAATTTATTTGTTTGTATTACTGAAATTTTTTTAATTATTTTTTATTGCACATTTATCACATAAAAAAGGTGTTACGATAGTTATTTTCATAATTTTATTCCAAAAATGATCGTGCATGAAATAAAAAAATATTTTTTGATAATAAAAAATAATTAAAAATGGTTTATAATTAGAGAAAAATAATTCAGATGCTACTAATAACTAAGGCACTATACGCCCATTATTAAAATTGGATTAATTTTTAATTTCGTCAGAAACCCTTTTGGCAAAATTGCATTCTAGCCTTTCTTTTCTTTATCATTTTCTCTTTGCATTGACTGCAATAATTTTCACTTCACTTTTAATGGGTGGGCTTTCAAAATTGGTAGAAAGAGAGTTTATTAGCATTCAAATAACTGTTCTGTGTTGCATCTTTTTGAGATGCTAAAGAAGGCATGAAACTTCTTGAAGGATGGTATTTTACTTTTTAGAGTTTGAATCACAATATTACCTTCATTTTTTGTATTTTTGTATTTTTGCATCCACTGGATTAGAAAAAACGTGTCCTTCTAAGCTTGAATTATGTTCAGCAGTAATGCCAAAGACTTAATGATATCTATATGAAAAAAAAAAACCAAGGGACATAATTATATATCATACCAGATATCAGAAAACTAACTGCATAAAGGAAATAATCCTGACTCATATTTCGGCGCTCTACCTGACTCAAGACGGTGATTTTAAAAAAAAATCTGGTTTCTCTTGGTATTTGAAAAATTCTGAATTCTAACTGAACTTAAACCAAAAGAATAAATTAAAAATTATAGAGGCTGCCAAATTAAAAGACAATATTGAATTGGATATTAAAAGATGGTTTAAACATAGTAGGGACTACGAACCAAAATCTTTGAAAAACAATTCTGTATCCAAAAAAATAAAAAAAAACCTACAAGAACAAACTCATTTTCCCAAAAAAAAAAAAAAGAAAGAAAAGAAGCTTATAAGAACATACGCACTTTTTCAAATTTAATAATTTATCTACATTATGAACATATTATAAACTAATACATTCCTTTTTATTTAATATTAAAAATTGATTTTAAATATACAAGTGATAGCAGAGGGAATGAAGCAGTTAGCGACATGTGAAAAAATCGAAAAGGACAAAAGCAATTAGAGGGATAATTTCGCACAAAATTCGTGGGTTAAAGTGCAATTTGAGGTATAGATGGGAGGCATTTTAGTGCATTTATTGGTTTGTTTTCAATAAGTGGTGGTTGATTTTGCGGGGTTTGGAGGGTCTACATGTACCAAAATATATTTATATAGGGATTACTTCATTAACTATGGGTGCTAATAACAATTCTATTGGTGCGTAATTTTCATTTGATTACAACATAATTGTATTAAATTCTATTGATGCTACTTCTATATTAACTATTGTATTTTTTTGTTAACAATTCTCATACAATGTATCACTTACTACACATAAAATAAATACAAAAACTATTTATTTTTTATTTCATATATATATTTTTTTCTAGATCAAAGAAATGAAAAATATTGCCTCTCTTCAAGTTCGACAGCCATCCGCATCACCAATACTTTTGCGTGATCATGGTAAATATGCAGTTTTTTATATCGTCAAAGATCGTGCATTTTCATTTGTAGTACACACTCCACAAAATTCAACATAGTTAATTAAATCATCAATTTTGGCTTTCGTACTAAAAGTGGATTGGTGTGAAGAGTGTTCGCACCTTCAAGAAAGATTATCAAATCGAATGCTTAATATTTATAAGTATTTCA